CAAATCCGCCAACGTGCTATTGTTGTGGCAAAGTGGACCACATGAAGGCAAAGTGCGGATTGCGCGATGCGGAGTGCCGCAAGTGCGGCAAGAGGAGCCACAGAGGCAGTGTGTAGGCAGAGCACGCGCGCAAGTGGCCGCGCAGAAGATAGAGGATTTGCGGGGGATGCAAAAGGAGTAGCCTTTACGGCGTGGGGCGACGATGGGGATGTGCGCAAAGGCGTGTGGATAGTCGACTCGGGCAGCACCCAGCATGTCACGGCCGATCGAAGCCAATTCACGAGCTACAAAGAGCTTCTGCGTGACGAGAGAGAATCATGGGGATCATCGGTAAGCCTTTGATTGCGCTAGGAATCGGAGAAGTGGAGCTTAAGTGTAAGACCCCAAGTGGTGTGGGTACGGTAGAAGGAGGTCCGGCACGCTCCGGGGGCACAAGCGAGTTTGTTCGCTCCGAAGAGGGCGACCGACGCGGGAGCACGAGTAATGCTCGAGGGGAGAACCGTGCAGATAGAGACGGACGGCGTGGTCCATATGGAGGCAGGTAAGCGTGGAGGATTGTGGGAGATTGAGACCGTGGGGAAGCAGAGGGCATTCTTGGCGAGGGGTCCGGTCAAGGGGAACCGGGTGTGCGCCACAGCAAAGAGGCCGGTAAGAGCGCAAAGCGTGGTGAAAAAGACGGTGAAGGTTGTGAAGATCGACCTAGACGATTCGGACGACGGGAATGGGGGCGTCGAACGAAAGATGAGATTTTTTGTGGGGGCGGACGAGACGTTCAAAAGTGGTCGAAAAAGGGGCGGAGTTTGAAGTGAAGCGCGAAGGAGTCGCGCACGCGCCCGCGACAGACAGCGGCCGCGCTGCGCGCACGATTTCAAGAGGGGCCAACGTGGGCCGATTGTGGAAGTTGTGCGCGAAGTTGTGGGAGTGTCCGAAGAGATCGGTAAGGGCAAGGAAAGCCCAGAGACGGTGATAGAGAGCAAGCCCACTGGTGTGGAACAGGCATCGAAGAAGCCTGTAGCGAAATCCCAAGAGTTGGGAACATATTCCGCAAGTGCGATGGGAGCCCGCCGAGTGGTATTGGGCAAATGTGGGAGCAATACAGGTAACCGTGGGAGCCAAAGAGCCGGAGCACGGAGTGGAGAAGACGTCGTCGGAGAAGAGCGACGCGGTGCGCTACCATGAGAGCGACGGTGGCGACAGTGGAGGCGAGTGGGTGACGCCAAAGGCGAAGAAGACAGCCCGCAAGAGAAGCATGACGAGTTAGAGGCTTAAAGTGATTCCTCTGAGTGCGAGTGATAGAATCCGGTGATCAGTCAGCCGACTTACTATGTGATTAGGGTTCGACCCGTGTAGGGTTTGGACTAGTGAGCGCCGGCGTGCGTGTGTACGACGGTTGGAGAGTTAAATCGCTAGGCGGTTTGGAATTTAGACGGTTGAGGGCGGCCGTCGGTGTAAGCCATTGATGACAATATCGAAGGCTAAGATTGAGTGTGACTGTGAGCTAGGCTAGTGAGCCTCTAGTAGTGTGTAATTTAAACTAGTAAGTCTAGTAGGCTAGTGAGCCTAGTGGAACGGAAGAGCCCGTAAGACATATGGTGGTGAAAACCACTAATGTGATACATCATTTCAAAGGAAGTTTGTGGAGAGAAGGAAGCCGCTTGTGAGGCGCTTCGTGT